ATCTTCAGGGGTCACTTCATGCCACTTCCATTGGCAATAGTGTTATCGTCTAAGACTATTGGGTGCAGGTAGGGATGTGTCTCCTCAGGTAGGGTGCCCTGGGTATAACTCCTTGAGAACCACTCCTCTCAGTAGGAAGATCTCTGAGTTGAAGAAACAAGTTCCTTGTCCTCCCCACATACCCAGGAAGCAATGGTGGGACAGGCACAGAATTACCCCCGTAGACACTCCCACTAGAGGGGGAGATGTGGAAGGCACATAGCGGTCACTGGTCCATAGCAATTCTGAAATCCACTTGGGCACATGTGGCCCATTCCTTGATTAGTAATCAGTTCTACTGCCCTCTAGGGTTTTGGTTCTTCTGAGTCACCCTGGCATTTCCATAATAAATGACCAGTGTTTGCAGCTGAGTCATTTTCTTAGCCTTCTTCCTGCCCATCGACATTTGAGGGTCCAAAGGGCTCTCTTTTCATTTGGTGCTCTCTCTGTCCTTTCATTCATAGCCAAAACAATTCCTTTAAAAGTTTTGAGGGCTTCTTATGAATCAATTTTTAATTCATTCCATTTTACAAATCTACCCCCATAAATCTTTTTTTTTTTAACCTTGGGTTCCTGGCAAGGCTGTTCTTCAATTTTTTTTTTCAAAGAGCAATGGTTTAAAAGGATGGGTTTTCAGCACATGCTTTTAAGACCCCCATAAGGCCTTTGTCTGTCTGAGAGGGTCTATGGGGGCACTTTAAATCTTTCTGAGGTCTTAGCAAAAGGCTTTGCAGTAACACTCTTAGACTCATCTTTAAGCCATTTGACAGTGGCCCTGGCTCTGACCTATCTTTGCCTGAAAGTCAATTTTTCTTTTGAGGATTGTTTGTCATGTGGGTGGATGGGGATGAGAAACGTTTCACACCCTTGACAGAGGCCGGGTTTGCACCCAGAGCCACCTGTTCTCAAGGCCGGCCCTCTTGCTGAGGGACGCTGTTGCCTCTCTGCACGGTGGAGTGATCAGGGAATCCTTCAGGAAGGGTGGGTTCACGCGGGGGGAGAAGGGAGGGTATTCCAAGCAGGGGAACCACGTGGATGAAGGAACAGGAATGGAGGGACAGGCACAGTGTGTTAGAGGGCAGCATGGCACCTGAGACCTTTCTGTCCCTCTCACCTTTGCCTTCTTCTTCACACATCCAGTTCCTACTGCCACTTCCCTTGTGGCCACTTTTTCTGTCCCTTCCTAGCATAAGCCCTACTATGTCCTCCATACTGCGTTTCACTCTTCAGCCCATTGGCCCACAGGGTCCCATCTTCCCTACGAATGCCCTTCCCGTCTTGCCCACCTGGAGAGTGACTGACTTATCGGTCAAGGCCCAAGATGAATGTCACCGCTGTGTCCTCAGGGAGCTTGCAGTCCAGCGGGAGGGACCCAGAATGAGCAGAGCATCACAAGCAATTGTGCCAGTAAATTTGAGGTGACAATGAAGATTAAATGCTCTGGAGGAAAGGGGCAGGGTAGGTGCTGTGAGCACATCCAAGAGAGAGATGCTCTAACCCAGTGGTTCAGAGAAGGCTGCCTGAGGAGGTGACATTGGGCAGAGCCCTGAAGCACACCCGGATATGAGCCAGGTGGAGGAGGGATGAGCAGAGGAGTGTGCCAGGCAGGGGGACAGCCTGGGTAAAGCCTGGGGTCGGAGAGAGCATACTGTCAGTCATGACGACAAGCAATGGCATTATTATGATTATCATTATTAGTAAATCATCAGCGCACATTTCAGTGGCTTTTCTCCCTCCCAGGCTCACTTCCCTGTGCTTCTGGGATCACCTACAAACAACCACCATTGCCTGCACGTGTGTCTCAGGGTGACCAGGAACCAAAACTGAGATACTGTTAACTGTCCATTGAATAGGTGAGGAAACTGGCACAGAAGAGTTAAGTAAACACAGAACTGAAAGTCTTGGAAACTGAAGCACCAACAGTGTGTGTGTGTGTGTGTGTGTGTGTGTGTGTGTGTGAGAGAGAGAGAGAGAGAGAGAGAGAGAGAGAGAGAGAGAACGTGAGGCTGCTGAGGTGTGTGCAGGCCAGGACAAGGATTTAGGGTATAGGAGGCCTTTGAGGGGCTTTATGCATATGGGGTGACATTCTGACTGATGTTGGGACAGTGTCACCATGGTGACTGAGGCAAACCTGGATTAGAGGGACTCAAGCAGATGCAAGGGATGGTTGGGGGCTTTGGCTATCATTTGGGGGGCCCTGGGGACCCAGGAGGCAGGGGCACTGAGTTCACTCCTGGGTCCCGGGAGCTCTGGTGGCACCAGGAAGGCCAGGGAGTATCTGGGCATCAGAGGGGCTCCGTTCCCTGCACCAGCCCGCAGTGCTCGTGTCTCAAAGGGGAGCACACATGTGGTGCCTCTTCTCCTCCCCATCCCAGCCCCTTTCCCACCCTCTTTGATCACAGAGTTCTCCCTGGCCCCCACCCCTGGGACCTCTGTCGGGGAGGGTCTGTGTCTGCAGCCCAGTACCCCTGCCGCCCAGCAGCTCTGGCAGCTGCCATGGGAAGGCCAGCCAGGCCTCCTGACCATGCAGGTCCTGGGGGTCCGCACGTGACCGGCCGAGTGCCGGCTGTTTCTGCCCCAGTGCCCTGTGCGGCCCACCCGCCTGAGCAGATGGTCTTGGAAGCCAGTGCAGTCTGGACGGGGTCAGGAGGGTCTGCGGGCTCCACTGTCTCCTCCTCTGCCTCTGCTGAGCCGGCTGCCCTTGTCGCTGGTCTGGAGGGGCCCCGCACAGCATGGCCAGATGTGACCTGGAGTGACCCAGGCATCCAGTAGTGCTGGGTGTGCGGGATGGGGGTCCCAGGAGCTCTGGTGTGTCCAAGGCGGGGCTGGAGGGTGGGAGGACTGTGGGCTACCCTGCAGATGCCCCTGATTGCGCAGTGGGCCCCTCACTGGGTGGCTTGTGGTGGTGGCAGGGCCCCCAAAGGAGGAGGTTAAGGGCTTACATTTGCTGAGGGCTTACCATGGCCTGGCCCTCAGTAAATGTTACCTTGGACTAGTACCTGCCACTCCTCACCCCATTACAACCCCTACCTGCACCTTTCCTGGGAGTCTTTCTCCAACCCCCCAACTTCCGTGTTTAAACATGGGTTCTCCCTGCTCGCACTGTAGGACCACTGTGTCCCTGCAGGTCTGTCCTAAACATCCCAGCCATGGGTCCTGCCTGCACACCTGCTCGCTCACTTGGACCTAAAGAGCACAGGTCCTATGTGGGTTCTACATCCTGACTAAACTTGAGGACTTGGCTTCACCTCTCTGAGCCCCAGTTTGTTTTCACATCTGTAAAATGGGTACAATCATGGGCACTTGGGTGGCTTGCATATCTTGGCTATTGTAAATAACACTCCACCAAAGATAGAATCGCTGGGTTACCAGGCAGTTCCATTTTCTGTTTTTTGAAGAACCTCTATACTGTTGAAAACTTTCTTTAATAGTAGCAAGGACCCACCAGGACCTGGCTCCTGTGTGCTCCTAATTTAAACACCGCCTTACAGAGGATACAGCCCCTAAGGAAGTTCTGGACTCAGCACCATGAACTCATCGTAGTCCTTGTGTTACCCCAGCCAATGCTTACGGTTGGCATGTCAACTGGGAATGGGCAGCTTTGGTACTTGGGCCAGTTCTTTGAATGCTTGTGCTCAACATATGATATCATGGTGCCAACTGGAGAGAGCGCGTCAAAGGCCAGCAAACCATGGTGCTGCCACCTGTGGTGTGAACCTAACCGAAGCCAGGCTGCAGCAGCCAGCACCAGCCTGTGCTCCACTTCCGTGTGCAGGGCCAGGCCCCACATGTATCTTCATTTTAAGATTATTTTATTGATTGATTTTAGAGGAGCTCTGGTGTGTCCAAGGCGGGGCTGGAGGGTGGGAGGACTGTGGGCTACCCTGCAGATGCCCCTGATTGCGCAGTGGGCCCCTCACTGGGTGGCTTGTGGTGGTGGCAGGGCCCCCAAAGGAGGAGGTTAAGGGCTTACATTTGCTGAGGGCTTACCATGGCCTGGCCCTCAGTAAATGTTACCTTGGACTAGTACCTGCCACTCCTCACCCCATTACAACCCCTACCTGCACCTTTCCTGGGAGTCTTTCTCCAACCCCCCAACTTCCGTGTTTAAACATGGGTTCTCCCTGCTCGCACTGTAGGACCACTGTGTCCCTGCAGGTCTGTCCTAAACATCCCAGCCATGGGTCCTGCCTGCACACCTGCTCGCTCACTTGGACCTAAAGAGCACAGGTCCTATGTGGGTTCTACATCCTGACTAAACTTGAGGACTTGGCTTCACCTCTCTGAGCCCCAGTTTGTTTTCACATCTGTAAAATGGGTACAATCATGGGCACTTGGGTGGCTTGCATATCTTGGCTATTGTAAATAACACTCCACCAAAGATAGAATCGCTGGGTTACCAGGCAGTTCCATTTTCTGTTTTTTGAAGAACCTCTATACTGTTGAAAACTTTCTTTAATAGTAGCAAGGACCCACCAGGACCTGGCTCCTGTGTGCTCCTAATTTAAACACCGCCTTACAGAGGATACAGCCCCTAAGGAAGTTCTGGACTCAGCACCATGAACTCATCGTAGTCCTTGTGTTACCCCAGCCAATGCTTACGGTTGGCATGTCAACTGGGAATGGGCAGCTTTGGTACTTGGGCCAGTTCTTTGAATGCTTGTGCTCAACATATGATATCATGGTGCCAACTGGAGAGAGCGCGTCAAAGGCCAGCAAACCATGGTGCTGCCACCTGTGGTGTGAACCTAACCGAAGCCAGGCTGCAGCAGCCAGCACCAGCCTGTGCTCCACTTCCGTGTGCAGGGCCAGGCCCCACATGTATCTTCATTTTAAGATTATTTTATTGATTGATTTTAGAGAGAGTGGGTGGGGGGGGGGAGAGAGAGAGAGAGAAGGAGAGAAACATGGATTTGTTGTTCCACTTATTTATGCATTCATTGGTTGCTTCTTATATGTGCCCTGACTGGGGATCGAACCAGCAACTTGACATATTGGGACGACACTCTAACCAACTGAGCGACGTGGCCAGGGTTGTATCTTAATTTTATCTGCTCTTCGCAAGCCTGAAATAAATGTTAGTTTTAAAACCACAGCAATAAACACACAGATAAAATGAAGCAGCAGCAAGGTACATGCCCACCACGTGTCACAGGTGGGGCTTTCCCCTGCCCCCCCGCCCCCCGTCCTTAGCCAGTGCAAGAACGGAAGGGCCCCTGGCCTTTGGTGGCGGAGATCCCCACCCAAGTCGAATCCTCTAACCTTCAGAACAGGCCTTGGGTTATGAGCGCAGTGGATGGAGCACCTCCGGGGATTTCAGGAAAACAGACAAGCTTCCAGCACAGCTGGGCCATGGCGTTTTGCCTGCCTTCAGCCGCGGCAGCCTGCGCCTCTGGAAAGGCGGCTCCTAATTGGAATGGATCGAAGCATCTTTGCTCCAGCTTTGTTCTCGGTCTCCATTGAATCGTTGCTTTAAGACTTAATCTGGTGCAGTCACTGCTGGGCTGGGAGCTCCTCTGGGCTGGTGGTGGCTGGCAACCTGGGGGGAGGGGTGCGGGGGGGGTACACTGCACCCTCTCACTCCAGGCCTCTTTTCCTTTTCTCTTTTTCTCCCCACCTGCTTTCTCTCCCTTTAATCTCCCTTCATTAACCATCCAAGGCTGTCCAGGGTGCCTGTCCCTGCTGGTGGGAGTATAAATTGGTACAATTTCTCTGGAGGGCAATTTGTCAAATGCTATTAAAAGCCTTAAAAGGTGCATAGGTTTTGACCATGAAAGTTCCCTTCTAGGAATTGGTCCTGGAGAAATAATTGGACAGGGTCCACATAGATGTGCAGAGGATGTGGCCCCCAGTGCTTTTCGTGAGTGACAGCTGGGAAACCGGTGTCCATCTACAGCGGGGTCATTAAAAATGGTTATGTGATAAACCAGCGGGAGAAGAGCCTTGGGGAGCTACGGGGAAACTTGAATCTTGACTCAGTGTTAGATGCTCCTAATGAATTACTGTTAATTTTGATCAGGTGTGATAATGGCCTTGCGGTTCGTTTAGAACAAGCATGTCAAACTCTCGGCCCGAAGGCCTCATGCCTCATTCATTTGGCCCGTGTTAGCCTTTGAGTTTGACATGTTTGGTTTAGAGACACTGACAGAGGGGTTGGTATTTGGTTTAAACTGTTAAAACAATAACAGTAATGGAAGGGGATAGGATAAAGCAAGGGTGGCAAAATCTTGCAAGTTCTGGCTAATGGGTAAATGAGTGTCTATTTTGGGGTATGTTTAAAATTCTTTATGGCTTAAAAAGAAATAAAATAATAATATAAAACTGGATTTCTTGACCGGAAATGATGTTCACAAGATAGTAAGTGAAAATAGCATATATGGCACCACGATATGTACAAAATGTTATATGCAGAGGAAAAGGATGGAGGTGCATATACTAGGATGCTATTGGCCACTTCTGGGTGGTAGGATTTGAATAATTTCCATTTTCTTCTTTATATTTTTCAATAGTTCCTGACTTTTTTTCTTGCAATAAGCATACATTCCTTTTAGGCTCATAAAAAGCATAGTTATTGAAGAAAATTTGGAAACCACCGACGATGCATTAGCCTGTGCCTGGTGAAAGAGGTTTTACGTATCAGAATCCATACACAGTAATTGGAAAGGTTGAGGCTGTCACGCCTATTGGATAAATGGGGAAGCCGACCATCAGAGAGGGTGAGTGATGTGCCTGCGGACACACAGCTGCGATTCTAACTCCACTAAAACCCCAGCTGCTTCTCAGGGACTTCCGAGGAGCACCGGATGTGGTCCCTGCCCTCTGGGAACCCACACTGTCCTTGCTCTCCTGCCCCTCTGCTTAATCTGCATCACCCCCACTCTGCCCCTAGAACCAGTTACATAATGGCTTTGGCAAAAAACACTTTTTCTTCACATCACAGGTAAAACTCGGACACCGTCCGGTCGATATTTTCTCCTAATGAGCCTTCCCAGTCTTCTTGCCTTTTTAGCATGGGAACGAGCTCTCTGCTGCTGTCCCCTTCATATTTATCTGCTCTGTTTACTGGCAGAGAGGAAGGCGAACGGGCATTGTATACATAAATATCACAGAATCCACAGAGGCTGCAGCTGAGTTCTTAATCCTGGCTCCGTCACTAACAATTTGCAACCTAAAGAAGTCACTCTCTCTGGCTCGCTTGTCTCTAAAGGAAGAAAAGGATAACACATTAAAAAATCAATCGGTGTTCTGCGGAAAAGGGGGAGGAAAACTCTAAGTTGGCTTAAAAGACCTTTCCCAATATTTTGCTAACGTTGGAGATGGATGAAAACTTGTCGCCACCTCCCTCCCATCAGCTCTTTGCTGAACTGTGGTGTCTTACCGGGCCTCCTTACCTCCAGGCGCTTCCTCTCCCACTCCATCCTCCAGTGCCCCCTAGGTGGATCTTCCTAAAGCAGACATCCTGGTGAGTCACTTCTGTCAAAACCCTATCGGCTCCTCACTCCCGTCTGGAAAAAGTCCAACTCCTCTGCTCTGTGTGATAACAGCTTCATGCGTTTGCTTTGTCCTTCTCTCCAACCTCTCACCTGCTGGGCACCCCTCGCTCCTCACCCCACGCTGCATGCACAGTTCCCCAAGCGGGCCCTCAGCTCCGTGCCTCAGGGCCTTTGCACATGCTCTTTCCTTGGTCTGGAATGCCCTTCCCCCACTAGCATCAGGTATTTTCCTGCAAGGCCCCTGGAAACCCTCCCTGCCCACCAGACTTGAGCTCCTGGAGGGCACAGCGTCAGTCATCCCTCCGATCAGCAGGGCCCTGCACAGAGATGGAGACAAGAATGGGCGCACAGGTGCAAAACCGAAGGCTTCTCTCTGCACCTCCAGGATGGCCAACTCTGCCAACAGATTTGGGTTAGTGTAACTCACAGGTCCCACCTTGGGCTCAGATGAATCTGTGCTTCCTGATACGCCAGTTTGGGACAGGACATTTTTAGTTTTTAATGTTCCATTTAAAAACCACAACATTCTGCCCTAGCTGGTTTGGCTCAGTGGATAGAGCGTCGGCCTGGGACTCAAGGGTCCCAGGTTCAATTCCAGTCAAGGGCATGTACCTTGGTTGCGGACACATCCCCAGTAGGGAGTGTGCAGGAGGCAGCTGATCGATGTTTCTCTCTCATTGATGTTTCTAACTCTCTATCCCTCTCCCTTCTTCTCTGTAAAAAAAAAAAATCAATAAAATATAAAAAACACAACATTTTAGCACCGAGATGAATGTACTTTATCACAGACATGACGCAGGTTGCCTCCTGCCCCTGAGCCTCCTTGCAGAAGACGGTGTAACTATGCACCTCCCAGCCGTGGGGATCTCCAGGGCTGGCTCTCAGGGCAGGAAGTGTCCTGGTGAACCACTGTGTCTGGGGACAACATCCGGGAGCTGCTCCTGCACCATCCACATCTGAACAGGGACCCCAACAAAGGAAAGTGCCCGAGTGTCACAGAGGCATCGTGTTTGAACTGGGGAACCCACTCCCAAAGCGCCCGCCTGCTGTGTCCCCTTCCCACTCTGGGCTTCCCTGTTCTCCTGGTGGCTGAACCAGAGCAGTGTCAGCAGGCAGCCAAGGATGCTGCAGAGGGTCAGCTTCACGGAGCCAGGGAGCGACCACTCCCCTGGAGGGAAGGAAACCTTGAGGGTGTGAGCAGAGCTTCCCCTCAGTCCCCAAGGAGACAGTAGCTCTCGGCGGTGGCTGTGGCTGCGGCCGACCCTGGCTGGGGTGCTCTCTGGGTTCCGCTCGGCGGTAGAAGTCGTGTTGGCCCAGTTTTCTCCTCCATGGATTGTAGGAGATTCTAGGGCAGGGCCTGAGTCCCACCCAACTCCGAACCCCCCGAAGTCCATACACACAGTCCGTGCACATCTGAGTCCCAGTGCTGGGAGCCGGGCAAAGAAAGTAGATGGGCCACCGCTGTCATGGCCCACCTCTGAGGGGCCGATGAGCCAACCGTGCCCAGGGCGTGCCAGTCACTCTGCCCTCTCAAATCTTAAATGTCACCTTCTCAGAGAGGTCTTTCCTGAGCTCCTTAGGGAAGTGCAGTTTTGGGGGGGGAAGCACAGTGATTAATAACCACTTACTACGTTTCCAAAATCGTGCCGGGCACTATGAGGACATAACAGCTACGATGTCTGGCATCCTGTAGCCTTTGAAATAGAATCCATTCCTTCCAGTCTGGCCCTGCCCATCTCCCCTCCTCCTGCTTCCCCCACACCGGACAACATTGCTGCTGAGCTGAAGTTCCTTGGCTCTCCAAGCTTGTCACGCCCCAGGGCCTTTGCACTTGCTGTCCTTGCTGCTGGATGTCCCCCAGGTGGCCACGTGGCTGTCAGACCTTACTTCCAATGTCACTCCTCAGAGTTGTTCCTGCTCACCCAACCTAGTTACCCCACAAACCACCCATCACAGGTCCATTTTGTTGCCTGTACAGCACTTGGCATGGTCTGAAATCATCTCCATCATTTCGTTATTATAGAACCAATTTTTTTTTTTATAGAACCAATTTATTGGGGAATCTGAACTCAGTAGGCCCCACGCCTAGACCATCTTACTTTTTCTAGAGTCCCTCTTCTTGCTGGGCCCCTTGGCATGGTCTGAAATCATCTCCATCATTTCGTTATGATAGAACCAATTTATTGGGGAATCTGGACTCAGTAGGCCCCAAGCCTAGACCATCTTACTTTTTCTAGTTGTTTCATTCTGTCACACTCGGCAGAGTCCCTCTTCTTGCTGGGCCATCATGACAGGCTACTCTGAACCCATTTCGGGCACTTTTATTTGTTAAAGCTCAGATCAGGCCAGCTCAAAGCTCCAAGGCTTGGCTCAAAGCTCCTCTCCAGAAGTGGGGAAGGGAGCGGGAGCGTCCTCTCTGGGGGCGCCTCCCCAGTGGGCGTTGCTGTTCCCCTGCTGTGGTCTCCCTGGAGATGGGGGTGCCTGGCTGTTTGGGGGCCAAGACTCCTGCGTGGCTGGCACTTCCCCGGGAGTGGACAGCTGCACCCCCAGCCCTGCCAGCAGGACAGCGCCTGACCTTCCCGGGGGAGCGGCTCCCTTTGCCCAGGGCCTGACGAGCCCAGTGACTCCCTGCCCTGTGGCTCCTTATGCGGTGGGGTACCTGCTCTCCCTGCTGCTGGTGCAGGCTTCTCCCCACTGAGTCCCCCTCAATTCCCAGGGCTGCACGCCAAGCTCCCCCAAGGACACCCTCACACCCTGAGCCTGCAGTTGGCACCAGGTTTCTGCAGCTCAGCGAGCATCCAGCTGGGGCACGAGGTGCCAGCCTCCTCTTGGCAGCAGCCTCTCAGGAGTCTCATGGGACCTCCTTTGTTGGGTTCTGGGGGTGGGGCAGGAGCGGGACTGGTACCCACTGCCCAGCACCATGTCTCCCCTCGCTCTCTCTTGACCACTCAGTATTCTTATACGAACAGGGAACAGCAAGGAGCGAGGGGTCTGGGCTTCTGGGGGCAGGGACAATTCTGCCCACCTCCTAGATGCCACAGGCACGGTGCCTGGCCCCAGCCTTCCGTGGTCTCTTTAGGGAGTGGGTTACTTAGCATCCCTCTCTCCACAGCTGTGGTCCCCAGGAACCAATTCTGGGGCAACTGGAAGCGTCCCCCCAGGTCTCCTTGGGTTTTGGTAGGTCTTTCCTTCTGGAACACGTGACAGGAGACTGGCAGTGTGGCATGGCTGGTGCCTAGAAAAACGCCCGGCACAGTCGGCCCTCAGCTCTCTTCTGAGAGAATGACTCAGTAGGGAGATTGCTGTGGCTGCAGGGACTTCACGGAGAAGTGACCAGAAGAGGAAGGCGGACGGTGGGGGCTTGATGTGGGTGACACCGCGGGCTGATGTCTTTCACCCGTCATCTCACTGATCGCAATGACCTTGAAGGGCAGCCTAATCACCACCCTTTGCAGATGAAAGACCTCCACCTTCTCCAGGCCTGGCCATCTCGGGAGGAGGCAGAAGAGGGGGTGGGGCTGGGAGCTGGGCTCTGGCATCCCTGTCCTGGCTCTGCCACTCCCTGGCTAAGTCACCGAGTTCTCTGGTTCATTTGGAAAGTGGGGTAAGACTCTGCTTAAAGATTAAATTAGCTAATACCTGTAATGTGCTGAGCTCATGTAGAGACAGGACAGGTCATCAACTAACCGGAGCCATTTCCATCACCATCACTGGGGCAAACCGGGTCTGTCTACCCCATAGCTGGCACCTCTGCCCCTTAGCTGGGGGCCTGGGGACTGAGGGTGAAAGGAGCTGAGACCCTCGGGGGAGGGTGATAGCCAGAGGCAGCCTTTGATGCCAAACCGCGGCCTGCAGCCTGATGGAAAGGCGACGAGGAACCGCGTGCGTCTTTAATCAGAGGAGTGAAAGCGGTGTTTTAGGAAGATTAATCTGGCAGCGGAGACGGGATGGAAAACAGTCGAGCTCAGGACAGAGAATTATGACTGTTGCCCAGCTCCGAGAGGCAGGTCATTAAAGGAAAGTGGCCTGGTTCTTGGCTCCCCAGTGCCCAGGGTTCCCGGCAGCTGGGAAGAGCTGGCCCTTATGGAGGGGAGGCACCCAGGACGGCCGGCAGAGGGCACTGTTCTGTCGGTGACAGTGGCCCCTGTGCAGGATCCCAGGCCTCTGGACAGGGAACAGGCAGCAAAGCCCCGTGTGTTAGACTCAGGAGGGGGCCAGCCGGCAGCCCCTCAGCCCCCCTGGCAAGTTCCACGCAGAGCATCTCAACTGCAGCAAATTGTAAGCAATCCCGGCACAATGTGGGGCTGCTCTCAGGGGAAGGTGGGACCACCCACCCCCACAGTGCCAGCCCCACAGGAGGCCCGCCAGGCCCCCCCTGGCTCCCCGGTTGCTCTGGAACCAGCAGCCAAGTGCAAAATGGAACCAGGCCCGCCCTGGCCTAGAGCGGAAGGAGCTGCTGCTTGTACATTTTCTCCTTTTATTTGAAGCTGTCACAACAGGTGAAGTGCCGAGGCAAGTCCGTCTTCTCTCGTCTTCCAAGGAGCCGGGCCACTGCTCACGCCCGCAGCACCCAGCCCTCACGCCAGCGCGTGGAAAACCTCCAGCTTCTCCCGGTACAGCTGGTGGAACTGCCGGGCCAGGCACTGGAAGGGGGCTTCGTAGTTTTCCATCTCCTTCTGTGGAGACAGGCGAGGAGGGTCGTGCTGTGTGTGGCATCAGAGCCGGCAGGCACTCTTACTGCATGTCGGTGCCACACACACCTGCCTCATTTCGCCTTCACTCCATTGGGGGAGGCTGCTTTCCCAGAAGGAAACTGACACAGAGATTAAGTAACTCGCCCGAAGCCACACACTTGTCAGTGGCGGAGCTGGTTTGAACCTAGGTCTGCATCTACAGAGCCTGGCCGCTCACTCCATGAGACAGGGAGTTAAAGGACACTTCTTTGGCTTTGACCAAGGCCCCAGAGGCCACACAAAATAACAGACAGCAAGGGCCCCACACCCTCGAGGGAAGGCAGACATGATAGGCCCTCCCACCTCCAGGTCAGGATTGTGCTGTGGCATTTCCCTCCCGGAGGGCAGGTTCCAAGAGAAAGCCTGAGGCGGGGGCTTAGGCCAGGGAAGAATGAAGGTGTGACGGGCTGGCTATTGTGGTGGCCAAGCCAGGGAGGGCTCAGTGGGATGGCAGCCCTGCTCCTCTGTGCACCTGAGGCCACAGCCGCCCTTCCCTGGACCAGCGGTCGGTCGGCGGGCAGGCGGGCGGGCCAAGCAGGAGCACCAGCCTGTGCTGTCTTAACAGGACTCTGCAGGGACCACTTCCAGGAGGGTGGATCCCAACAGGAACAGCCAGCCAGGAACCGCTAGAACCAGGGACCGCCAGACCCGAGGCTGCAGAGCGGGGAGGAGGGAGCCCAGCCTGAAGAGCCCTCACCTGCCAGGAGGAGGCTGCAGGTGAGAGCTCCACTGGTGGGGGCAGGGAAGGCCCATCTCTTGAGTGCTCACAGAGCATCTGCTGAGACACCTGGCAAGTCCTGAGGGGCCACGGGAGGTGGCAGTAGAGACCCCTCGCCCCTCGTTCCTCTCTCTCCCCTTTCCCTGCAGCTGCAGGCTGTGAGCTGAGCTGGGGAGAGCGCAGCGCAGAAACGCAGCAGCAGCAGGCGAGGGGGCGTGGGGAGGGGGAGGTGCTGATGTTAGATCAAATCAGGAATTCTGACAGTCACAGAGGACTGGGCATCTTAGTAACTGAAATAATATTTTTGTGATTAACGGTGCCCAAAGGACTTTCTCTCACTCTCTGTGTGCACACACGTATTTAAATTTTTTAAGTTAAATTTATTCAAACTAAAAACAAACAACTAGTTCTCCCATTTCTCCCGCCTCAACCTCTGGCAACCACCAATCTGTTCTTGATATCTATAAGCTTGTTGGTTTGTTTTTTTTGTTTTGTTTTGTTTTTACCATTTCACATATTAGACCATATCGTATTTGTCTTTCTCTGACTTATTTCACTTAGCGTAATGCTCTCAAGTTTCATCCATGTTGTTGCAAATGGCAGGACTGCCTTCTTTTTTATGGCTGGATAATATTCCATTGCATATACACTGACCGGCCAGATTATTATGACCACCCCATCAGTACTTCATTGACACTTCCAAAAATACTGAAAACTTCCTAAGCAAATACTCTCAAGGTTTTATTATTATTATTATTTGCATAACTAATTCACGTCATTGTACTGATGGGGTGGTCATAATAATCTGGCCACTTAGTGTATATGTACTACAATTTCTTTATCCATTCATCCATTGATGGATACTTAGGTGATTTCCACATCTTGGCTATTGTGAATAATGTTGCAATGAACATGGGGATGAAGATATCTTTTCAAGTTAGTGTTTTCCTTTTCTTTGAATAAATATCCAGAAGTGGGATTGCTGGATCATATGGCAGTTCTATTTTTAATTTTTGAGGAAACTCCATATTGCTCACCATAGTGGCTATACTGTGTGTGCCTCTTTTTAAAATTTTTTTAAAGAAATAAGCAGGTAGAAGAAAGAACTCACAACTTTCAAGGCAGCAGCTCAGCTAAGAACACACAAGAACCAGTTTTCAAACAATCCCTGGCAGCTGACAAAAGTGCTGCCTCCATAAGAGGCAATGAACTATCCCCAATGAGCGGCATAATTTCCAAAGCAAAGAATGTTACAGAGTCACCAAGCTCAGGGTTTCACAGACGGCAGCCTGGGCCGGGGTGCAGTGGTCAGCTGCTTTGTGCTGAGCCCCACCAGGAACTCAGGCTCCCCAGTCCGAGAAGAGCAGCCTGTCTGCCCTGCCAGCTGGGTGACCGAGATGCACCAAGGAACCAGTTCTGGTGTAGAAAGTTACCTGGACTTTCTGGGAATCCCAGGTGGAGGAAATAAGCTGCCCAGAGGAGAGAGAGAGGCGGCAGAAGTGCAGGGAGAGGGATCAGGAGGTGGCGGTTTGTAGCCGAGGAGCATGCGCACTAAGCTCACGACTGCTGAGGACAGAGGCCGCACCCTCCAGTTGGACAAGAGAATTAACTGTTACACCTGCTGGGCAACTTTGGTTGTGCAGAGCATAAACTCCTAGGCCACGCTAATGTCAAATAGAAAGGCTGGACCCCTATGTTACACCATTCACAAACATTAACTCAAAGTGGATTCAAAACCTGAACTTAAAACCTGAACATAAAACTCCCGGAAGAAAACATTGGGAAAAAGCTCCCTGACATCGATCTTGGCAATGATTTTATGGGAACGACACCAAAAGCAGAAGTTAAAGCAAAAATCAACAAGTAGGACTACATTGAAGTAAAAAGCTTCTGCAAGGCAAGAGAAACGATCGACAAAATGAAAAGGTAACCCACGGAATGGGAGAATATATTTGCAAACCACACATCTGAGAAGGGGTTAATATCCAAAATATATAACTCGGACAACCCAATAGCAAAAACACAAATAATCTGATAAAACATGGGCAAAAGACCTGAGTAGACATTTTTGCAAAGAAAATATTCAAATGGCCAACCGGCATATGAAAAGGTGCTCCACATCACTAATCATCAGGGAGTGCAAATCAAAAGCACAGTGACTTATCACCTCACGCCTGTTAGAAGGGCTCATCAAAAGGACAAGAAATAACAGTATTGTGGAGGATGTGGAGAAAAGGGGGCCCTTGTGCGCTGTTGGTGGGATTGCAAATCGGGGCAGTCACTGGAAATCAGCATTATGCTAAGTGAAAGATGCCAGAGAAAGACAAATACCGTATGATCTCACATGTGTGTGGAATCTAAAAAAACAGACCTCACAGAAACAGAGAGCCAATTGGTGGTTGCCAGTGGCCGCGGGAGTGGGGGGTGGGCGCTATGGGTGCAGGTGGTCAAAGGGTATCCACTTGCAGTTTTAAGACGAGTACGCTTTGCCCCGGCCGGTGTGGCTCAGTGGATTGAGCGTTGTCCCAAGCACCAGGAGATCATGGGTTCTGTTCCCGGTCAGGGCCCAGGCCCAGGCCCAGGTTGTGGGCTCAATGCCCAGTAGGGGGCGTGCAGGAGGCAGCCAATTGATGTTTCTCTCATATCTATGTTTCTGTCTCTCTCCCTTCCCCTTCCTCTCTCTCTAAAAAATCAATAAAAACACTGAAAAAAAGAAAGTTGAGTAAGTTCTGGGGATGGGATTACAAATAACAAAAGAAAGGCAAGCAAACATGTAGGCCCCACCATCAGGTGTGCCAGACGATGGCGCTGCATTAAGGAGAGAGGAGATGGGCTTGGCGTCAAGACTTGCCTGTGCCTCAGAGTTCAGTTATATTTCCTGTTTAATTACAGCTTTTTTAACCCCTTCCAAATTTAGTTTTCTGTCATTCACAGCTTTTCTAGATATAAAAGGCAATTCCTTGTAATTTAGTACTCCCCTAATAAATATAGGTGTTTACCACGTTGAAAAACTTTCCATATTTGAATTTTAGTGTTTTTATAATTCATTTTACTTCTTAATCTTATTTAAAATTCAAATTACTGGGGTAAAATGAAAGCCCACAGTTTATTCCTTTCCCCTTCTTAGAAGTAAGTAATCACCACTATCAATTTGATTTGTATCCTTTCTGTACATTTACAAAATGGGTTCCTGCTGTTTATTTGGTTTTGTTTTAACCATGTGTGAGATCTTTTCAAGTAAATACATGTAGCTCTCTATCTTGTCCTTGTATCTTGTTCTTAACTACAATGCAATACTCCATGACACAGATGTATCATAGTTAGTTTGTTCATTCTTCTAATTAGCCTTACGATTGTTTCCAGATTTTTCACTGTTAAAAACAATCTTGGACTACACATCCTTACCATATCTAAGAGAGATACTTAGTGGAAGGGATGGATTGAGGAACATTGCAGTGTTAACAGATACTGCCATATTGCCCTCCCAAAACACTTTACCCTTTCACCAGTGCTGTATTAAAGCACTAATTTCTCTATACCACACTTAAGGTAATTGTTTTCACTTTTGACACTCAGTTTAAGGAAATATCTTATTTTAATTAAATAGTTTTTCAGATGTTCATTGGTCATTGTAGTTTTCCTTCTGAATTGCCTATTCATCTCATTTCTCTTGTTATGGGGTGGGGCCACAACATTAGTAACAAAGAAACAGAATTTCCGGAGGATGAGGCCCAGAAATCAGGATTTTAAAAAGATTCCCAGGTGATTCTAATGTGCAGCCAAGGTTGAGAACCACTGCTCTAAGTGCTCTATATTCGCCATCTGACTCCATTCTCAGGCCTACTACTCAACGTGGGGCATGGCTTATCATCCCCACCTGACAGGGGAGGAGCCCGAGGCACTGACAGGTTAAGTAACATGCTGAGGACCCACAGCTAGTCCTGCACTCCCTGTGGGAGCTCAGAGCACTTGCCTTTACTCGCTAAGCGCTCCTTAAGGAAGCACGCCTTTGCGGGGGCGGAGGTGGGGTGTTAAAGTTCCCATCCACATGCCACTGAACAGCATCAGTCTGCCAAGTTTCGTAGACGCAACAACAGAAGTGCCCGTGGCTTAAGTACATTTTAAGTGAAAACAACCTCCAGGCTATTTATTCATTAGCCCACTGACTTTTGGAGCCAAAGAATCCGGTCCAGGGGCCACATGGCCGGGGTGAGGTCCATGTTACCATCACGCTGTGCCAGGCCTACCGGTCAGCCCAGCAGCCCCGGCGAGGGGCGCTGCTGGCTCTGAAATGGACGTCTCTGGAGGAGAAAAGTGCCACACAAGCACGTCTGATTGATACAACCTGGTCACACGCCTGCACCCAGTCACAGGGAGGCTGGGACCTCAAAACTCCCAACACAGGAAGGGGGTTCACTAGCACCAAACAGCTAAATCCTGAAGTGTGTGTACGGAGGGTGCGGTAACAAATCACTCAGACTGTCCCCCTCCTGAGGGCTCCAGTTGACCCCGTGGCTTGGAGTCACCTGGGGGCTGCAGTAGGTGGGACAGGGAGCACTTATGGGAGCCAGACACTAGGATCCCAATGCTGACTCTGCCCTCTACTAGTCACATGACCTTGGACAAGTCACTTCGCCTCCTCAACACGGAAGTAGGAACGGCAGGGGGGTGGGGGGTGGACCAGCCCCTGGCGCACGGGGCAGAACGGGAGCTATGAAGTAACGTTCCAGCGGCATGCTCACAAAACTGCGTGCAAATGTCAAGCATCGCTGTAACTGAACACAGTCGGCTTGTATTTGCCACTAATTGAGATACAGCGTTCCCGGGGCTGGCTGGCGAAGCCGCTTTACTGAAATGCACGAGTGACTCTTGCTACACTGAGAAATGACCTTGGGCTGAGAATGCAAACACTGGTTCCTAATTCCACTGTGCACGTGGTGGGGTAACAACTCGATGCACGTGAGGTCATGCGAACACCCACTTCCAGCAGAAGCCCACTCCCCACCGGCTACGGAGCACGTGGACACTTACCACGGATGTTTCAAAACATTCCAGGCCTTGGCCCAGCGCCCACTCCTGGGCCTGCGCCGCTTCCACTACTCGTCTGCTGACCAGGTCTGTCTTGTTGCCCACTAACACACCTGCTCAAAAGAAACAACCACAGCATCGCCTTTAACTGGCAGCCCCGGAGGCAGCTGGAGGGAAAAGAGCAAGCAGACGGGCTTTAGGGGCGCAAAAGATCGCCCGAGAGGTGCCTGGTTCGAGGTGGTGAGCAAGACAGGGACCCTAAGATGTTGACCCTAAGGCCGCAGCAGGGCGGGCTCTGCTTTTCACACACAGCTCCTGCTCGGCCCTTTTCCCAGACGCCTGTGTATCTGTCTGCCTTGTCCCCTTAAGGCTGCAAGTGCCCTGAAGGCGAGGGCCGAGTTTATGCATTTGCGATAAATTCCTAGCTCATGGAGCAAACTTTAAAAATGGTCATTAATACTAATCTAAGGCCTGGGCTCGGAGTCAGGGATTCGGCGGTAATTTAGTTCTGTCCCCAGCTGCATCCGCTGCAGCTAATTTCTGAGCCTGTCTCTAGAGATGGTTTTTCCTGGTCTGTAATGAGGAGGATTTGTTGATCTCACATGAGGATGAAAAATAAATTGATTTAAAGCATTCAGAAGTGACAGCCGGGCCTGCATGTTTACTTGCGCCCCGCACACAGGAGGCAATGAGTTCTTCCTGGGCTGGCTTTCCAGAAGCGACACCTCCCCTGCCCATCACAGCCCCTCCCCTTTGCTGCCGGAGTCTCCCCAGCCCTGCATGGTGGGTGGGTGTCATCGTGCCTGTTTTACAGACTCGGAGGTGTGTGCACCCTCAGACTCAAAGCCCAGGGCACCCCTCTGTCCACCCTCAGCCAGGTCTGCAGTGACCTGTGCCCTTGAGGGACAGAGGTGCTGCCGGCAAACCCGATGCCGCAGCTCCTACCTGGGAGGGAGGTGCCCGGCACCTGTGACCGCGCCTTCTCCAGCCACTTGCTGCAGTTGAGGAAGGACTGCTCGTTGGTCACGTCGTAGACGAGGCACAGGACGTTGGGACTCTCCCACTGCAAGAGGGACAGGACGAGACATGTCAGGAGCAGTGAGAGTGACTTCTAGGCTAGCCGGAAATCTGGCCCATTTTCTGGGGAGGGACATGTGGATGAAGGGAAATGACAAACTGTAAAGGGGATGTGAGTCAGACAACTGAGCCACAGAGGAGAACAGTTTGCCCAAAGGAATGAATGGAGGGCTGGGCTCGTGGGCGGCGGGGGAAGGGGCGGTGGGGAAGGTGCAGCGATGAAGTCCAGGGCGTGAGTTGATGTCCGTGCCAGGCTCCCTGCTGGGCGCTCTGGGCATCACTGTGAAACACCTAACCCTGCTGGGTGGTCTCAGCGTCCCTGCTGAGCAGCTGCAGTGAGGGCGACCGCCTCGCCCAGGTTAGATATGCTTCCAGCGCTAGAGCAGGACTGCAGCTTTCCTCTCCCTGGAGGCGCTTTCGCCTGCCACTGGCCTCACGGACTCGTTCCCGCTCATCCTGACGGATGGCCCACTGTTGTGCAAGCTGGCGCGCCGGCTGCTCTGCAGGCCCACAGACCATCCCCTCTTCCACCAGCCAGTCACCAACACTGGTTCGCGTGCGCCTCCTTCCTAAGGGCTGCCTTTTCAAAACGCTTCTCCTGCAGGGCATCAGCCCTCATCCAACCAGACACCGGCAGGGTCACTGAACCGGGCTACGCTCTCATGACGCTCACCTTCTGGGGCTGCACAGATCCGGGGCACCCTGCTGCTGGGCACAGGGCGGTAGGATTGCCCTGCTCAGGCTGTGATGCATGACTGTGGCCACACCCTGGTCCCTGGGGACCCCCACCTTGCGCAGGGAAAGCCTGGTTTGTTTCTGGGGTGTTGGAACCTCCCAGGGTGTGAGGGAGAATCCTTTTCCCTCCAGTTTTCCTTGGAAGGTCAGCCCAGAGTCACTCTGGAGGGCTCACCTCCCTACCCCCAAGGCCTCCAGGACGGGGAGCACTAAACCGATGATTCCCTCACACCTTCACTCCACAGACTAACTCAGGAACTCGATTAAGCCCCCTCCCCCATGAGCATGCCGGGGACACCTTCTCCCTCCAGGCCTCAGCCAGCGGCCCAGGGTAGTCCCGGGATCGAGCTGGAGCAGGGAGCCTGGAGTCGGGGTGTGCGCTGCTCCTGGCCCTAACCTCCAGGCATGTCCTCCCTCTGCCGGGGAAGGGCAGCACCCAGCGCCAGGCTGTGCACACAGTAGGTAGGCATGTGGTGAGCATGAACTGATGCGTGAAGCCAGTCCTGTGTGAACTTACCATCATTAGATCTGTTTCGCTTAGACAATAACCCCAAAGGGGCAGGAAACAGTTTCTATTAAAATGTAGCCGTTCTTGGGAAGGCAGCGAGGGCTCTGGGGAGCGTAACCCTTCTAATTAGCTCGCTGGCCCAGATCGGCGGAGCCCATACCTGGGAAGAAACAGCAGGCTGGACCTGGGAGGACGGCTGGATGTGCATGGGGAGCCCTGGGCAGTGGGGCACGTTCCAGGCCGAGCCCATGGGGCCAGGGTGTGGGCCCGGAAGGTGAGCCTCAGGCTGGGGCCTCTGGGGCACCCCTTCCCAACCCCCCCAGGGGAAGGAATGTGTGCTCCTGCTCTGGGAGGCTGAGGAGGAGGGCTGAGGGGACACCATCAGGAGCAGCTGCTCCAAAGGGAGGCCCCGGAGTGGGCGGCTCGAGGACTGAGCCACACAGCTCCAGCGCATCTGGGACCCAGCCTCTCAGAGCTGGGGGGAAGCACGTGCACGAGCCACCCCTCCTTGCCAGGAGGCCACAGGTCCCAAGGCTGGGAGCAGTGCCCCTTACAGAATTTTGCCACGATAGCTTCTCTCGGCAGCCAGAGTGCAGTGACGTTTCTGGGAGAGGGTTGTAAGGAGGGACCTGGGGTGGGAGGTGGTGTTAGGAAGTGAAACCGCAGGATACTTGCCAATTTATCCAGCATTTCCGAAAACAGCTCCTTGCCGGCGGAGTCAAAAATGAAGAGCTCCTAGAATCAGAAAGGTGCGTCCCAAGGGTGTCTACACATGGACTGGGGTGGGGTGGGGAGGGGGCACTGGCTGCAAGCCAGCGGCACTGCCCTCAGCTCAGTGCTGACCTGGCTTCGGGGTGAGGTGTACACACAGGTGCACACACACCCATAGACGCTGCACCCCCCGCCCTGGGGCACGAGGACGGAGATGGGAAGAGGAACAGCCACCAGAACCCGCGAGGCAGGCGGTTTCCCACACACCAGCGCTTTCTGCGCGGCTCACCTTTGCTAACCTCAAGTGCAGAACCACCAGGAACAAGCTGACTCCCCACCTGGCAGAACAGAATGCTAAACAGGCTGACAAGTGCTCTGCCTTCCAAAAGGTCATTGTGCACTTTGTTAACCAAATTGATTTTCAAATCTTAAAACCATTCTTTCTAAAGGAGGTCACTGAGCAGGCTTGGGAAGGCGCGGAAAGTAGGACAGTCTGTCATCCCTCCGATGGCTCAGGTGTGGTTCTGACGAGGACACAGGCTGACCCCTCCTGCCCCCGTCCACACCTCAGCCAGCCTATGGGAGACCCCTCCCCAACGCCGTTGCCCAGAAAGTCCTCCTAAACTCTCCCCTTCAGCTCCCTCGGGCACTGGATACGCCCGGCTGGCTTCCGACCCCTGCGCACGCTGTCCGAGTATCAGAGCTGTAATCGGAGCTGCACGTCGGTGACCTGTGCACTTCCCGCTGTATCAGGGGCAGTTAACATGGTTTTGGCTCATGGACCCCTTTAAGAATCTGGTGATTCTTAAACCTTCTCCCCAGGGAAGCACAAACATAGGATCTTGCAATTCACTTTTAGGTGTGGATTCCCATAGAGGGAGGCAGGTTGAGAACCTTGATAGGTAAGTTGTGAGGGCAAGGCCCACATTTCCGTCTTCCTTCCTCCCCCTAGAATGCTTCCCTGCCCCACAGCGCTGTCCCCAAACGCTCAGCGAGTCCAGGCCAAGTCCTTGCACCGTCCCTCACAGGGAGGACGACGGGGACCCCGGGGACCCTCCGGTCGAGGGCACCACTCACCACGCTGTCCCCCGTGTCAGGAACTGGCAGCGTCTTCACCACCAAGTCTACCCCGGTTGTCTGCCGAGGAAAACCAAGGACACGTGTGTCAGGGGCCCCACGGGGCGTGTTTCAGGTCACGACAAGCACCGACGCCAGGAGACATCCCCAGCGCGGGTGTTTGTGTCCCGCACGCCCTGGTGGTGCCGAAGTCACAGAGGACCAACGAGGCTTGTCCGCCCCCTGCCCCAGAGCGAGTGGTGCGTGGTGACGGTGACCACTGGCTCAGGGCTACCTCCCAGTGCCCGCAGCCTTGGCCCGGCCGACAGCCCCCGCGCCTCACCAGGGTGTAGTTCTTCTGGAAGTGGGCTCCGTCGCTGCGGAAGATCTGCGCCAGGGCGGTCTTGCCCACTGCGGGGTCCCCTGTGCGGACAGAGCACAAGAAAAGCCTCACTGCCATCCTGACCGGACCGAGGGCTTCCCATCCAGAGCGCTGGTCCAGAAACCCCAAACTTCCCGGAGTTTTCGGAGGAAATGTACTCGATTCTCCTGGGAACTCGCTCTGAGGTCGCTGGCCGGGCCATGGGTCCATGAGACCAATCTCCCAAACCCACGATGGCCAGTCACTTTCTTCAAGGCTAACCTACCTCATCTGAAAGAACTGACCCAGAACTGACACTCTTCCCGGGAACATACCCTGTGGGAAAACCTGTCACTTTCAAACTGGAATTTACTTTGAAGTCTTGAAGGTAAACAGGTGTGGCCAGGCTCAGGCTGACAGGCTCAGCTGACGAAACTGATCTGAGTTTAGAGTG